ACAACAGTTTTGGTAATCCCGCACCTCCTCCTAACTTCCAAACTACGAATTCTCTGCATTATATTCACACCACACATTGCCCTCAGACATGACATCTCCACTGCCTCCAGCCTTCTCCTCGCTGCAACATTCATCACCCACGCTTCACACCCATATAAGAGCGTTGGTAAAACTATACTCTCATACATTCCCCTCTTTGCCTCCAAGGACAAAGTTCTTTGTCTCCACAGACTCCTAAGTGCACCACTCACTCTTTTTCCCTCATCAATTCTATGATTCACCTCATCTTTCATAGACCCATCCGCTGACACGTCCACTCCCAAATATCTGAATACGTTCACCTCCTCCATACTCTCTCCCTCCAATCTCATATTCAATCTTTCATCACCTAATCTTTTTGTTATCCTCATAACCTTACTCTTTCCTGTATTCACCTTCAATTTTCTTCTTTTGCACACCCTACCAAATTCATCCACCAATCTCTGCAACTTCTCTTCAGAATCTCCCAAGAGCACAGTGTCATCAGCAAAGAGCAGCTGTGACAACTCCCACTTTGTGTGTGATTCTTTATCTTTTAACTCCACGCCTCTTGCCAAGACCCTCGCATTTACTTCTCTTACAACCCCATCTATAAATATATTAAACAACCACGGTGACATCACACATCCTTGTCTAAGGCCTACTTTTACTGGGAAAAAATTTCCCTCTTTCCTACATACTCTAACTTGAGCCTCACTATCCTCGTAAAAACTCTTCACTGCTTTCAGTAACCTACCTCCTACACCATACACTTGCAACATCTGCCACATTGCCCCCCTATCCACCCTGTCATACGCCTTTTCCAAATCCATAAATGCCACAAAGACCTCTTTAGCCTTATCTAAATACTGTTCACTTATATAGTTCACTGTAAACACCTGGTCCACACACCCCCTACCTTTCCTAAAGCCTCCTTGTTCATCTATCCTATTCTCCGTCTTACTCTTAATTCTTTCAATTATAACTCTACCATACACTTTACCAGGTACACTCAACAGACTTATCCCCCTATAATTTTTGCACTCTCTTTTATCCCCTTTGCCTTTATACAAAGGAACTATGCATGCTCTCTGCCAATCCCTAGGTACCTTACCCTCTTCCATACATTTATTAAATAATTGCACCAACCACTCCAAAACTATATCCCCACCTGCTTTTAACATTTCTATCTTTATCCCATCAATCCCGGCTGCCTTACCCCCTTTCATTTTACCTACTGCCTCACGAACTTCCCCCACACTCACAACTGGCTCTTCCTCACTCCTACAAGATGTTATTCCTCCTTGCCCTATACACGAAATCACAGCTTCCCTATCTTCATCAACATTTAACAATTCCTCAAAATATTCCTTCCATCTTCCCAATACTCTAACTCTCCATTTAATAACTCTCCTCTCCTATTTTTAACTGACAAATCCATTTGTTCTCTAGGCTTTCTTAACTTGTTAATCTCACTCCAAAACTTTTTCTTATTTTCAACAAAATTTGTTGATAACATCTCACCCACTCTCTCATTTGCTCTCTTTTTACATTGCTTCACCACTCTCTTAACTTCTCTCTTTTTCTCCATATACTCTTCCCTCCTTGCATCACTTCTACTTTGTAAAAACTTCTCATATGCTAACTTTTTCTCCCTTACTACTCTCTTTACATCATCATTCCACCAATCGCTCCTCTTCCCTCCTGCACCCACTTTCCTGTAACCACAAACTTCTGCTGAACACTCTAACACTACATTTTTAAACCTACCCCATACCTCTTCGACCCCATTGCCTATGCTCTCATTAGCCCATCTATCCTCCAATAGCTGTTTATATCTTACCCTAACTGCCTCCTCTTTTAGTTTATAAACCTTCACCTCTCTCTTCCCTGATGCTTCTATTCTCCTTGTATCCCATCTACCTTTTACTCTCAGTGTAGCTACAACTAGAAAGTGATCTGATATATCTGTGGCCCCTCTATAAACATGTACATCCTGAAGTCTACTCAACAGTCTTTTATCTACCAATACATAATCCAACAAACTACTGTCATTTCGCCCTACATCATATCATGTATACTTATTTATAATCTTTTTCTTAAAATATGTATCACCTATAACTAAACCCCTTTCTATACAAAGTTCAATCAAAGGGCTCCCATTATCATTTACACCTGGCACCCCAAACTTACCTACCACACCCTCTCTAAAACTTTCTCCTACTTTAGCATTCAAGTCCCCTACCACAATTACTCTCTCACTTGGTTCAAAGGCTCCTATACATTCACTTAACATCTCCCAAAATCTCTCTCTCTCCTCTGCATTCCTCTCTTCTCCAGGTGCATACACGCTTATTATGACCCACTTCTCGCATCCAACCTTTACTTTAATCCACAATAATTCTTGAATTTACACATTCATATTCTCTTTTCTCCTTCCATAACTGATCATTTAACATTACTGCTACCCCTTCCTTTGCTCTAACTCTCTCAGATACTCCAGATTTAATCCCATTTATTTCCCCCCACTGAAACTCTCCTACCCCCTTCAGCTTTGTTTCGCTTAGGGCCAGGACATCCAACTTCTTTTCATTCATAACATCAGCAATCATCTGTTTCTTGTCATCCGCACTACATCCACGCACATTTAAGCAACCCAGTTTTATAAAGTTTTTCTTCTTCTCTTTTTTAGTAATTGTATACAGGAGAAGGGGTTACTAGCCCATTGCTCCCGGCATTTTAGTCGCCTCATACGACACGCATGGCTTACGGAGGAAAGATTCTTTTCCACTTCCCCATGGACAATAGAAGAAATAAAAAAGAACAAGAGCTATTTAGAAAAAGGAGAAAAACCTAGATGTATGTATATATATATATATGCATGTGCGTGTCTGTGAAGTGTGACCAAAGTGTAAGTAGGAGTAGCAAGATATCCCTGTTATCTTAGCGTGTTTATGAGACAGAAAAAGAAACCAGCAATCCTACCATCATGCAAAACAGTTACAGGTTTTTGTTTCACAGTCATCTGGCAGGACGGTAGTACTTCCCTGGGTGGTTGCTGTCTACCAACCTACTACCTACTCCTCCCTCTTTCCTCTTCCCTATCTTCCAGAAGCCAGCACTAGCTTCTGTATGTATTTAACACTTATATGATTGTTAATTTTTTTTTTGTGAACATTTTTGTCTGGAACGGATTAATTGTCTTTCCATTAATTCTTAGAAGAAATATTAATTCAGTTTTCGGACATTTCGGTCATCAGCTGACCTTCTGAAACGAATTATGGCCAATAACCGAGGGTCCACTGAAATTCATCAAGAAAATGTCATGAGAGCAAAAATATTTAGCCCTATTTCATGGGCTTCTGGAGAAGTCAAAGATGATGAAGATTAAAGTCAAAATATTAGGGCTGGAACAAACCGCAATAAACCCCCACACACAAAAAAAGTGAAAACTATACAGTATGACAACCTATTCTGAAACACTATTAATTCATAGTAAAGTAAAACAGTGAAAACCAGAGGCAAGAAGGAAAAGATAAGGATACTGCAGATATTATGCCATGTCATGCCAACCATGATCTGATGATGTAAGTCTGGGAGAAACAAACATCTTCAGAAATAAAGTCAGAACTAAGATTCACATTGGAGATGTGTAATAAGGCAAAGTAATCAAGACAGCTAAGCTAATCTTAAGAGAGGAGGGAAAGAATTTTGAAAGAGCCAGCTTATCTGAAGATTATAAATCCTTAACTCTTGAAGATGAACCACTGACCTCCACGTGGCAACGTCTGGTAACTCAGAAATAACTCCGAGGTTGACAGTGGTTGCAAATAATAATAATTTTAAACGTTATCCATGGAGGCAAAGAAAGGAATGTACAAGAGTATAGTGGTACCAATACTTATATGGGTGTGAAGCATAGGTTGTAAATGTTGCAACAAGGAGGAGGCTGGAGGCAAGGGAGACGTCATGTCTAAGGGCAATGTATGGTGCAAATATTATGCAGAGAATTCATAGTGTGGAAATTAGGAAAAGGTGTGGAGTTACTAAAATTATTAGTCAGAGGGCTGAAGAGGGGTTGTTGAGGTGGTTTGGTCATTTAGAGAGGATGGAACAAAGTAGAATGACTTGGAGAGCATATAAATCTGTAGTGGAAGGAAGGAGGGTGGGGTAGAGGTCATTCTAAGAAAGGTTGGAGGGAGGGGGTAAAGGAGGTTTTGTGTGTGAGGGGCCTGGACATGCAGCAGGCATTTGTGAGTGTGTTAGATAGGAGTGAATGGAGATGAATGGTTTTTGGGACCTGACGAGCTGTTAGTGTGAGCAGGGTAATATTTTGTGAAGGTATTCAGGGAAACCAGTTAGCCGAACTTGAGTCCTGGAGATGGGAAGTACAATCCCTGCATTTTGAAGGAGGGGTTTGGGATATTGGCTGTTTGGCATGGCACCTAAACTGTCGTATCTGAGTGCCTCTGCAAAGAATGATGAGAAGCTTTTTTTCTTTCTTTTTGGGTAACCCTGCCTTAGTGGGAAACGGCATACATGTTAAAAAAAGAAACCCTAACATGGGAGAAAAAAATTCTTGGTGTCAGCATTTCTTTTATGTTCTTTAAAGCATCAAATGTTATATTTCTTGGCTTTTTTGGTGTGTATCCTCCAGAGAAGCCCTGTGAACCAACAATCAGTATACACATACATAGTATGTACCACTACTCATAAATTATTAAATAATCTTTTGCTTCAACTGACTGAAACCTCAGTTTTAGTATTCCCTTGTTGGAGAAAATTCTCTACAAAATGTAAATTTTTGTTAGTATTTTTGGGTGTCTGGAAAGAACCAATTAATCCATTCCAGACACCCAAAAATATTAACAAAAAAACACATTTTATAGAGAATTTTCTCCAACTAGGGCATACAAAAACCAAGGTTCCACTGTACATATTTCTAATTTGCTGAAGCTATTCCACTGACCAATTCCACTTACTGGCATTTGCAGACATTCTGCCAAGCCTCATAATATTTGACAGGCTTAGCAGTTTTTGTTTCTTCCTCTAAATCTTCTGCCTCCAAGCACTTCAAGTCCAATTTGCGACTGCACGCAAGGGCAGCATGTTGCAAGGCTTTGATCACTGATGCATAGGAGTCTTGAAGCTGAGTGTACTTGCCCACAAGAGCAATGGTGACCACACTGCGTAAGTGTTCCTGCCTATGGACATGAACATTTTAGTAACAAAACCAAGCAATAAAGTACAAAGTATACATCTTAAACAATTTCACCATCTGCATAATGAAAATCTCCAATACAAGCACTTACTTTGTTGACAGATCACGCCATTTTTTCATGAAATTTCTTGGCCGATGACTATCAAGGTTTAAGCCAAGATGATCACTAAGAAGATGTGACACGTGTTGCTCTTCTAACATTAGCGGAACTTCATAAATGCTCTGTGCATCATGCAGACATATAACCTGGGAGAAGTAAGTGCAACTTTTACTGTCAGCTATCCACAGTACCAATATTAACCACTATTGCAGACTATATTTTGACATGCAGTGACTTCTTCACTCAAGTTATATTTTAATGTTTTCATTAAAATTTTAAACACCAATCAATATAATAACACAGTAGTCCCCTGAGCTATAATGGTCTTTATTTATGATAATTCATTACTAATTACAGGCATCCCTATGAGGCTTATGAAGTAGAAAAAAAAATCTAATCTATCTACATACAGTGGACCCACGTTTTTCATAAGGCTCAAAAGTTGTAATTTTCGGAATTCGTAACTTTTTTTCATCAAAACATTGACTCGTGAATCATCATTTGACTCGCAAATAGTCGTTCATCTGGGACACATACACATGGCCCAGAGCTGCCTCACACTCCATTCCCAGCGATTGTGCCATTGTTTATCAGTGAGTGAGGATGATCCCGAGTTCATACGATACATTTTATAATATTCCATTCGTTTTAGTGCTTGCAACAGCTAAATAAGTCACCATGGCTCCAAAGAAAGCTTCTAGTGCCAGCCCTTTGGTAAAGAATGTGAGAAACACACATAATTTAAGAAAAAGTCTGTAGAAAAGTACAAAAGTGGTGGTAGTAGAGTGGTAGCAGTTGTCATAGTGGTAGAGGGTGGTAGTGATGGTGGTAGAGGGTGGTAGTGATGGTGGTCGAGGGTGGTAGTGATGGTGGTAGAGGGTGGTAGTGATGGTGGTGGAGGGTGCCTTCTTCAGTGATTCTACTAACTCCTCCAATGTTGTTGGAGTTATATAAAGCTACAGAAAACACCGGTGCCTCGGCTGCTGCTTAACCACCATTATAGATGGTTTATGCTCTCAGTGGCCCTTATACACTCAACAACAACAACACAACACCTCTTGTGACATACATAATGACTCATTTTATTCATTCTACAATATATTTCATGTTTCTATGCTATTAATATTGTTTATGATGTCATATTAGTTGAATTGTGATAGATAAATAAGCCACCAAGTTGATATTAGTGCCATATTCTCCAACAATAAACTCGCCTCCCCTCCCTCTGCCATACACCAACAAGATTCTTCAATAGAGGTAAATGTGATGTTAAATGTTCATTTATGCATTTTATCAGTGCTTTACATTTATTTGGCATTCTTTTCTGCATGTAAATTTATATTTAAGCTAGGGAAGTGGCTAGGTAAGTGACCTAGAGTCCTTATGGAGGGGGATTCCCCTTCCAAACAATAACCTCTCTTACCTCTCTCCTCCTCTCTGGCCCTTATACACCCAACCTGGCAAGTCAAATGTAGTAGCAGATGCTTTATCGCGGCACATTAGTGTAGTTACTGCAGATCCTCCATTTACTGCGGAGGATGTAAAGAATGCCCAAAGAACAGATCCCATGTGGTCTGGTGTAATTCGATTCCTGCTCCAGGAAGATCTTATTCTGACTGTGAAGCCACCAGCACCCATCAGTGACTTTGTAATGAGCCAAGAATTACTGTATCGAACAGCCGAATTGGGTACTCCAAGTAGAAGAGTGTACCAGTTAGTAATTCCACAGTCACTAGTGAATGTAGCTCTACAGTTAGTTCACGATGCACCAGGTGTTGCACACCCTGGTATGGATCGTTCTGTGAAACAAGCCAGAATGAAGTACTTTTGGCCACGTATGGCAACTGACATTTCAGAGTATGTTAAGAAATGTAGTGTTTGTATGCAACATAAAGGAAATGTCAATGGTCCTAATCCAATCCAAGTGTACCCAACCACTAGCGAACCGTGGGAAAGAGTTGCCCTCAATTTATTAACCAATTTTAAATGTTCCCTCCAAGGCAACAAACATCTGTGTTATAGTCAGTATAGTTGCTCATCCCCTTATGTGTGTTGTAAAGCGTATCATAGTACCATCCATGTGCTTTATATAGAAGATCCCTAGGCCGAGTGACTGTATGACGTCACAGGATACAGCATGAGTCAGTGAGACAAGCTGCCTCCCTCTCACTCGACAGATTGCCATAGACAGGCGAGCAGGGCAGGCCTGGCTCCCACCTCTCATCCACAGTCTGACAATATATGGTGTTACCATCCAACAAGGTGTTTACCTTCAACCCTCGTATCTCCTACTGAACCCCACACGACAATTCGGTGACAGCGGTGTGGGCGTGAAATTGATAATTACGCCGATGTACGGAGATTTCTTTCGACCAGCAAGACGGCCATTTCGTGTCGCCAGTAGGCCGACCTAGCCAAGCCAGCTACCTCAAGCCAGTTACCTCAATCAAGCGTCTACCAGCCACTACATTATTCACTGGTCAGTCTCTTTGTATTAGTGTTTATCTGCTTATTTGCATCACTCCCGAGGGGTTGACCCGAGTTTGCAAAGTAAGCCAGTAAGACAGTCTGTGGTGGGGGAGTCAGAACAACCCAGTCAGCCCAAGCCTGATACCATCCATCCTTTGCCTGCCAAGCCAGTTTTCCACCCTTGCTGTGCTCATCGTGAGAAGTTATCAAGCTATTCTGTGTGAAGGGTTAAGATAAGCCAGCCAGCAACTAACCCAGGTGTCTTACCCCAGTACTCAAGCAAGCCACGTGGGTACAGTCTTCCTCATCGCTTAGTACTCAAGCTCCAAGCCATTCTGAGTGCTTTTTCATCCCTGTGGTGTTGTGGTATTTCGTGGGTCTGTTTTAAGCCAGCCGGCTTAGAATTATTTTCGCGCCTGTCAGGGTGTCCTCAGTGAGGCTTACGCCGTTCATCCCATAGGCCCAGTTACCACGCAGTCTCGGCCTTAGCCCTGTCAGCAAACTCACCCACTCACTCGACACCGGCCTCAGCCGTCTCACTCAGCCATTCACCCACTCACCCAACCACTACCACTGTGTTTTGGTACTCTTACTACGGGTACTAGCACCATATTTTAACCCTTCCAGGGTCCAAGGCCAAAATCTGAAGTGGTGCCCCAGTGTCCAAGAATTTTCAAAAAAAAAAAAAATTTTATTTTTTCTCATGAAATGGTAGAGAATCTTTTTGTGAATGTAATAAAACAAAAAGTACGAAATTTGATGGAAAATTGACGAAATTATGCTCTCGTGAATTTTGCTGTGTCAGCGATATTTACGAATCGGCGATTTTGCCGACTTTGACTCCCATTTTAGGCCAATTACATTATTCCAGTTGACCAAATTCTCAGCTATTTCACTAGTATTACTTCTATTCTATCGATTGAGCACAAGAAATTGCCAAGTCAACTGTTTCAACTACAAAATAAAGTGACCGGAAATTGGTAATTTGGCCAATTTAACACAAAGTTCAAAATATTCCAATTTCAAAATAGGGTCCAGAATAAACAATGTAGGTATTCCTGGCACTAAACTAACATTTCCTCTGTTCATTAGTTATGTTTTGAGGCTTTACAAATAAATTCCATTTTGATTTTTTATTTCACATAATGAATTTTTATTCACACCAAAAAATAGAAGATTTACTGTTATGCAATATTGTAATAATTGTATAAATATCATCACCACATTTGTGAATGTATATTAGACCCACCAGCTGGCGTGTATTAGACGTGTGAGGTCATTTGTTTACTCTTGAACATCGGCAAAAATTTAACATTTCCGCCACTTTGAGCTCAATTTCAAGCCATTTCCAGTGCTAACACCAATCAAAATTATCTCTATTTCTGTAATATGTCTTCCATTCTATCAAATGAGACCAAGAAATCACAAATACAACTATAAAAAACATACGAAAAAACACTGCAAAGTCGCTGTTTTAATCGAAAATCATGGTCTCAGTTTTTTTTCTCTCATTATACACAGTGTGCTGCAGGATTTATTTTAATGTGGTGCACACATACCACATAGATGTATTCTCTCATATCTAGGCCCAAATTTACCACTCAGTTTATCAGAGTGAGCTGAGCTCATGACGTAGATCTACGGTTTGGACCCTGAACGTAAAGCCGTAGATCTACGGGACGGACCCTGAAAGGGTTAAGGACCACATAGGGGGTCAAGAGCTAATGTGTGTTTTGCGCCATCGTTAACCCTTTGACTGTTTTCGACGTATAAATACGTCTTACAAGCCAATGTTTCTGACGTATATATACTCAATAATTCTAGCGGCTTCAAATCAAGCGGGAGAAAGCTGGTAGGCCCACATGTTAGAAAATGGGTCTGTGTGGTCAGTGTGCACCACATAAAAAAAAAACCTGCAGCACACATTGCGTAATGAGAAAAAAAAAACTGATTGTTTTTTTGGAATAAAACGCCGACTTTGAGGTGTATTTTCGTATAGTATTTATCGTTGTATTCGCGTTTTCATGGTCTTAGGTGATAAAATGGAAAACATATTACAGAAATAGAGATGATTTTCATTACTTTGACGATGAAAACGACCTTGAAACTGAGCTCAAAGTAGCAGAAATGTTCGATTTTTACCAATGTTCAGGAGTAAATACGTAAATCGCACCACACGTCCAATACACGTCAACTGGGGAGTCTAATATTCTTTCACTACTGCACTGATATTATTTAAACCATTTTTACAATAATGCAGTAGTCTGCATAACAGTAAATTTTGTATTTTTTTGTATGAATAAAAAATCAAAATAGAAAGCAATAATAATATAAGAGGGGCCTAGAGATGTGACTAATGAACAGAGCATATGTTATTTTAGTGCCACGAATGTCTACCTTGTTTATTCTGGACCCCATTTTGAAATCAGCATCTTTTTTTTTAAGTTTGCGTGAAATTGGCCAAATTGCCAATTTCTGACCACCATATTGGGTAGTCCAAATTAGTAAATGGGAGGTTTCTTGTACTAAGCTGATAGATAAAATGGAGTTCTAAAGAAATAGCTATGAGTTTGGTCAACTGGAACAATGGAATTGGCTGAAAATAGGGCTCAAAATCGGCGAAATCGCCGATACGCATATGTCGCTGAGACCGCTAACTTCGCGGGAGCATAATTCC